TGGATCTATTTTGTAGATTACTAAATTAATCCAATGTGGTGTGTTGATAAGAGTTACTACAAACATCTTATAACAAACTCCATTTGAACACCTTAATGACCAACATTTGATCTTCTTGTTTCAAGTGGTATCTCAAATAGATTAGATGGATCTATTTTGTAGATTACTAAATTAATCCAATGTGGTGTGTTGATAAGAGTTACTACAAACATCTTATAACAAACTCCATTTGAACACCTTAATGACCAACATTTGATCTTCTTGTTTCAAGTGGTATCTCAAATATCGAGATATTGTGACTAAGTCAATTTTAAGGACCATGTATTTCAAAGTCAGTTTATTCATGACCTCAACTAAAAAAAATTGAAAGTTATTGCTCTAATGCTTATTCTATATCCCTCAATGGTTGGCGATGTGTGCTTTTAGCACTTAGTTTAATCACTAAAAGAATCGTTTATTATCTATGGTCGTTATCTATTGGTAACTACGAAAATTCGTGGATAATCGCATGTTTTTACATATTTCTAATGGGTAAAAATTAGTCAATATTTAGTGTGTAAATTTTATCGACGAATTAAAGGTCTGTTAGAATTACCGACATACAAATCAGATGGAAAAACATATACTTAGAATAATTATTGACGAACAATTAATCCATCGATAAGACAATAATGTAATTTACTTATGGATGTATTTTTATGTCATGTAATGTTCAGTCGAATAAACAAACATAGGCATTTCTTCACTATAAAATGTCCAAATCCAATAATTTTGCATGAATAATTTTTTTATAGGTGAATTTTAATGACCTCATTTTTCAAAATTTTAGAATATTTCGCACTTAATCCATGAATATCTAATATCTCCGTCAATAACGTAATATTTATATTATCAAATCATTTGGACAAACTTTTCGACTTTTATCACAAAAGTTTCCTTCAATCATATGCCTAGCGAGAGTGGTTGAGAACTCACCCATCTTCTATGTCAAGACAAAGAAGGAAAATATTACTTTATAAGATTCTAAGTCTACATGTAAAAATAAAAACAATTTCAAATTTGGGCCTCTCTTAGTGAGGTGTAGACCTGCATCATTACATTAAAAAAAAAATTATACGTACTAACTAAAATGTGTTGACATGTTTAAATATGTGAAATTTGAAATAGAAAGATCTGCCTTTAATCGTTAAATAAAAAACTTCGACAAATGAACCTTAAAATCATGTTTTCTTAAATAATCTATTGTAAATATATTATACATGTCGCAATACCTGTACATTTCGCAAGTACAAATAAACTTAAATATTGGATCATTAAATTTTTAAGACTACACAACCTCTCAACCTTAACAAAAGAGATTGAGAGTCAAATGCTAAATCTTAAAGGTCTTACTCATTATAAATAACTTATATATTTTTATAGAAACTTTTCTTTCGACACATCTATCAACCCGATGTTTTTCAAAATCAATAGAAAAAATTATAATACGTGAATAAATACCCCAATCAAACTACCTGAAAATAGACTATTACACATGTCCAACAACAAAAAAGTGTGCGCCTTTCGGAACCCTCTTTCCACCTCATAAACACGGCATTTGAGGGAGAGTGATTAAATGAATTTGAGAGGATTTGAAAATAAATATTTTTATTGTTTATTTGAGTGGATTTGAAAGTAGATAATAATGAATTTGGAAGTAAATTCTTTTAATTTGTCATATCAATTAAATTTTTTTAATCCGTCATATCAATCAATTCCAAATTCACTCTCACTTATTTTCAAATTCACTCAAATAAGCAATAAAAAAAATTATCTTCAAATCCTCTCAAATTCACCCAATTACTCTCTCCTAAATCTATTCAAGTGAAGAAAGGGTCAGGGAATAAAGGTTAAATTGTTCAAAGTCAGACTTGGACAACTTTGTTTCTCAATTGAGAATGATTACATAGTAAATGATTATATGATTCCGACAAGTATAAATGTATGTGTATTCACATTGACATTTCTGTAGTAATTTCTCTTCCCGTTGAAAAAGTCTATGTAATTTTTGATCGTTCAATAAATATATAAATCATTAGAACCGAGTAAGTTCCTAGAAACTGACAGGAAACCGATAGAGTCAAAGTCATGCCCTATATAACCATGATTCGCTCTCCCACGATATTAATCTTTTCCATTGCAAACCAATCACCTACGTTGCAGCTCAAAATTTGAAGGAGAAAGATCTCCATTGCATCATTGATTCTGTGAAGCTTCTCGTATCTATTTTTCTTTTGCTTTCTGTTTCTTTTTCAGTCTCATCTTTGCCGTAACGTTATATATAGCTTCTTCTTTTTTTGTTTTCTAAACTCTCAATTTGATGCATCATTGCTGATCAGTTTCTATACCTATGATAACCTGTACATTGTTTGGTTTAGTAGAGGAAGAAAGCCAAAGGTTGTTACCATGGGATAGACCACACAACTTCGTTATTGGTGTATCTGTTGGCAACGGAGAATTTTGGGACGAAACTTGAATTTGTTGGAATTCCGATCTAATGTGCTTCTTGCGTTCCTGAAAACCTCCATCTTCAACTTGCTCATGGATAAGTGATTGTTGAGCAAGTTGAGAATGGAAGTTCTTCTCCGAGACGTTAGTCCTTCCTTTAGTTGACTTGTATAGGTGGATCGGATGAAACAATTTTCAGTACAAAGATCTGTTGAACAAGTAAGGGTAAGATTCGCTTGGCATAATTCTTTCTGGGAGGTCTGTGCCCATTAAGAAATTCTCTGTGTTTCCATATTCAGTGCTTTTATGTGTGTGTCCCCTTTCATAAACTCTTCTAGAGATAGCAAAAGACGGATGTGAGATAGGTCATTGGAAATTCTCGAACATCACATGGTATTTAAGTATTTTTGGTAAGTTTTACCAGTGAAACGAAAATAGCGGCATGCAAGGTGAATTGAATTCCTATTTCTGGAGTGTACAGCAGCTTAAATCAGAGGCCAAGCTTATTGTATCTGTAGGTATCTTTACCTCCTATTCTTTGCAAATAATGCTTTAAGAGAAGCGTTTTGGTTTGACCTGTATTCTTTCAGTAAAACATTATTTGTGTTTGGTACGAGACAAGATCAAATGCTTTAGGCTGACAAGTCTCTTTGCTTTCGTCAGGTAAATTCAAGGAAAATATTTTGTCATCCACAAGTGTCTCTATGCTGAAGAAAGGTTGGAAACTTTGAAGGGAGTGGTCAGCAATGACGTTTATAAATTTTTGGCGACTTCTTGAAACGCATTCTAAACAAAATTTTTGCACCCCTTAAAACATGAAACCACTTGCTCATGACCCTTTTCAGGCACCACGTTGTCTTGAAAAAAACAGTTTGAAGTATTCCTGACAAAGAACGTGTCAAAAAGGAGCTTATTCTTACCTGCTGACATATGCGATCATTCTGTAACTGCCCTTTTTGTCTGAATTCTCTTGAAGTACACATGGTAGGACATAACCACTTGGAACTTTTTTTTTCAATATATAAACTGTTGAGTTAGAATAGCTTTGCTTACTATATTTGCCAGCGCGGAATTATGCAGGTTCTGCGATAATGCACGGATTAACCACTCGCTGCTGAGTCGTGGCAAAAGATGGTGGGGGAATTGTGACTCTTGATGATTTGGAAAATCCCTCAAGAAGTGCTTCACGGACATAGGGTAATTTCCTAATTAAGGCCAAAGACTTCTTCCTGCTGTCTTTGACATATAGGAAGAGTAACATAAATTTGACGAAAACGGCTTAAAAATAGTGGACATGAACAGAAAATTAGGCAAAGTTAAATATAATAGAATGTGTAATATCCCACATTTTAATAGTTTTAACATTACAATAGAAGTTGACATATCCAGTAAACAAAAACAATTCACTTAAAGGAAAGCATATAACAAATAGCATTATAGTAATCTCGATATAATCCTAATAAAACATTACAAAAAAACTATAATTTAATAGAACACTAAAAAAACTATTATTTAATAAAGGTTTGTTTTTCATTTTGCAGAGTTTTTTACCCTCTGTAAATTAATTTTAAAAGGCTTTTCAAAAACTTCACGATTAGAATCATAATTATTAACTTGCGAAGATTTTTAATGACTTTTGTTAACCAACTCCTGTTGTTAGATTTATATCGTGGAGATTTTTGTAGGAAGAGTTTTAACCTCTTCTATTAGTTATTATTATTTTGTAAAAGTTTGAAATTTCTTTTATTTATAATTATCTATTTACATTTATAATTTCTTAATTTAATAAAATCTATTTTTTATAATAAGAAATAAATAAAATATATAAAATTATAAAATACACAAAAAATTAATCAAAATTATTTTTATTGATGATTTAAGATAAAGTATTGACTATTACAATACAAATATAAAAAAAAATAATGTTTCCAGAAATTCAACTAGACTTAATAAGAGCATAAGCTAAGACAAAATCTTCAGAGTTCAAAAATTGTGTAATATGCAACAACATATTATGTGGCCTCTCTCTGTCTTCAAGAGGGAAAAATGGCAACTTGAATCATTCCACGACTGATCTTGCTTTGACTAATTGGCAACTTTCTTCATAGTGGATCTCTGCCTTCATCCATTTTGGTAGCAATTTCAAATAAAAAGATATATTTAAGATTGAAAGACATGCTAATTTGAGATCCCTGTAAGCACAAAAACAAAACCATAATTAAAACAAATATCAGTGTTTCCAAAGTCAGTATTAATATTGTTGATGCAATAAAAGTGCTTGACTTTGAAGGATGTATATTACAGGGATTATTCCCTGGTGTTTGAGTATCTAGCATGCACGTGTAACACCAATACTGCACTTATTAACATTTAACAGAGGAAATTCCATTAAGAAGATGATCTTGAAACAATGGAGTTAAATTTATAAAAGACTTGGGAAAAGACTTTGAATTTTGCTTCTTCATTGGGAATTGGTTTTGGTATAGGTTTCTTATAAAATGGAATAGGTTTAATGAATTACTCAATAGTAAAAATTTTCAGTACTAATAGCATACAACATTACGTACATGAAAATTCTCTACTGCCACTTTACCGAAACTAAACTCCCATTGTTGCTTTGTTTTATCAACCCACTCAAGTGGACTTTTTCATGATACTCCACTTATTAGATCAACACCTGGAAATTGAAATAGCATCCATGTAATTCCAATTTTAGAAACATGTACATAAACTCAAGCTCATATACTTACCAACAATGTCCCGTGACTTAGACATCTGAAGCAGTTGCTCGTCTATTTTGGAATTGTCCGTGCTCAAAACACCAATAAGATTGTCATCTTGCCCCAACCTGCGTGTGATTGCACGAGTATCACCATCATTTATTGCATCATAAAGCAACATCAAAATCAGAAACCAGGACTTAAAGCTATGTAGATTGCAGAGAACAACATTATTCGCAGAATATCTTTTTACATAAACTACTCACAAATTCCCATGATATTCCTTTCAGCCAAGTATTCACCCAAAGCCTTCGCACATCTCCAGTTAGAGGTACTGAGTAGACTAAGTAAACCTCAGTCAATCATGAAACATTTCAAAGCGCAAGAACAGAACCAGATGCTCAAACTTTTAATTATAAGACCAGTAAGGAATAGTAAACCTTAGCCAGTAAACTTCAATTTTCAATGTTAACATAACTAATCAGCAATAAATAACGATTTTAGCAAGATGTACTGATTTAGAAGCAGAACAAGACCAATTGTGTAAACAAAAATAATCTTAGAAATAAGAATCAAGGATGAAGCAAACAATGTTTCAATTTATGTATAAACCCAATAAAACAGATACTATCTTACCTTGTTGGTATATAGTGCACACACTTCGTATATTGTGAACATTTAAACTATACTCATTTGAAATAATTATGTAATTCTAATAAGTACAAGTGGCTTGACGACCACAAACATTCTAATACCATGCATCATGTCCCTAATTACCAGAAACCAAAAAAAGGAGAATCAGATACAGAAAAATCTTTACCAGTTGTACGACCACTAGCATAAAGGGAAAGCACTGTCTGGATGGCAACATACATAGCTGGAGTGTTGAAGGCCTCAAACATAATCTGTGTCATTTTCTCTCGGTTGGCCTTGGGATCGAGTGGTGCTTCTGTGAGGAGAACAGGGTGCTCTTCTGGGCCCACACGTAGCTCATTGTAGAAAGTGTGATGCCAGATCTTTTCCATATTGTCCCAGTTGTTAACTATGCCATGCTCAATTGGGTATTTTAGAGTCAAAATACCTCTCTTGGATTGAGCCTCATCACCGACATAAGCATCCTTTTGTCCCATTCCAACCATCACACCAGTGTGACGCGGACGACCCACAATGCTAGGGAACACAGCCCTTGGAGCATCATCTCCAGCAAATCCAGCCTGCAAAATTTAACATAAATCAACACCAAAAGAGAAAAAAATTAACAACCAAAACCCATTAATCAGATTTTCAGAAAAGGTCTGAAATTGCCATTTCAATGTTTTTATTATCACTATAGGCACAATGAAACAGAAACAGAAACAATGTTTTTATTATCACTGCAAAATGCACCAAACATTATAAAAACTCTCATAAAACAATGAAACAAAAACAAAAACGACTCATGTGTCTCCCTAAGCTACAATGTAAGATCTGGGTTATTATTACACGTGTCACAGCAGAATCACCTCATAGCAGGTCTGCGACTCCCTCTTTCAGTTCAACGGCAACCTCCTCTATGAGATCCGTCGAACTACTTATGTTTAGGTTTGATGAACGCATTAGGTGAGAAGGAACGAAGAAGAGGAAAAAAAACGTTAAGAGAGCGAGGCAAGAAGGAAAGTTTGAAAATAAAATGAGGTGCTATTTTTTCCACAGACCTCCAAAGTATGTGAGTTCTTGCCTGTTTATTAGAAAGTGAACATCGAAAATTAGTTTCCAAGGACTACACTAAGCTGATTTAACTGTTGACCAGCTGACTGTAGTGTGCATGTTAATGCCGTGCAAGCTGAAGGTTTCGCTAGGGTCTACCACCGTGACCGTGGCTGGTGTTGGGGCTCATAACTGTCTGCCAAGGCGAAGGCCAAATGAGCTTTGATCTCGTTGTGTGGGGGAGTGTAGACGCAAAGAGCGTGGAATAAGGATGGCACTATTCTAGAATGGTAGGGGCCATCGGGAGTGTGGAGGGGCAGGTGTAAGCATGCCGCAATAACACATACATTGCGGCGAAGCTCTCCGCAAGACGGGGACAGGCACGGGAGGGGGCGCAGGGGGGCGGAGATGAGTCGAAGGGAAGTTGTAGTGCGGGAGAAGAATCCGGTCCATAAACGGTTACTTACTTTCCTCTCTACTCTCATTCTCCCGTCTTTCTCTCGTCTCTTATTTTTCTCTTTTCTCTCTCCCCTCTTTTTTTGTCTATCACAAGCTGCGTATTATACACACACATTATAATATTGATAATCTTGTCGTAATTGGTGACTTAATTGACAATAACAAAATAGGGAAAAAAAATGTCCTTGGTTCCAATAAAAAAGAAATCAATAATCTTCAGCAAGATCTTGATTATAATTACTTGTCAAAATTTTTCATTTAAATCTTTTATTCTTTATTTTTAATTATTTACTTACTCGGACGAAATTGGATGTTGACAATAAAATTCCTAAATATTCTAGAAAATAATAAAAATAATATATTCTACTTTAATACTCTCAAAATAAATTTCTAAATGCTTATACAATAGTATTTTTCTTTATATTAAACTGAGTTAAAATTTGAAAATAATAGCTTAAATCTCTTTAAAATGATAGTAAAAGACATCTTACATATGTCCAAGGTTTCTTGGCCGACCTGTTCCTGATCAAATAATATACATAGACCTGTTAAGTCCATATATATTTGGTTTATATATATTTGATAGGACAATATCACGTTAACAATAACTTATAATTAATTACAATAATTTAAAATTAACAAGTTATTTGGTCACATGCTTCAAGTCACGCTATGGCAATTCATACTTTACACGACTCATCTTGCAGAGGATTCTTGGATTACATAAATTAACCATGTTCATGGAAGACTAACATTTACATATCAAGAAGTCTTAGCGTCGAAATACTTCCTAATAACTCAATATCCCTTCAAATCATTTTTATGGAACTATAATGAATCCTTCATGTAAGAAAAAAAAAAAGCTAGACAATCATGTGTTAAAATCTAATGCTGTATTAATTATCAACTCACTTTTACTGTATAAACATACTATAGAACTAATAAAAAAAACTAGGATCTCATGCACCGGCAATGTCAATATATTCACACGTTCTAAAAGTTCCAAAAGAATGATATATACTGTAAAACTAAATATTAATGGTTAATTCGATGAACAATAAATATAACAAATAATAAATATAACAAATAATAAATTTTGTTAGGGATAAAAACTTTGATATCATATAATAGAAATGAACTTTAAATCTAATTTAAAACTTCACAAAATTAACTTGTGAAAAAGGTTTGTACCAATTTATATATTATAAATTCATTTTATTTTTAGTTAATGTGAAACTTCTAATAACATATACATGTTTATCAAACTTCTAAGAAATGAACTTTAAATCTAATTCAACTCCACAAAGTTGTTGTTTTCTGGTATGATGCTGAGGAACATGGAGTGACGTTGAGCATCACGAAGTCAGCGAGCCACTGGACTTCCAGGGCACTAAGCGACTAGTTTGGACGCTAGGTGCTGAACCTTTCGAAGACATAGCTCTTTGTGTCTTGGGGGCGCGGAGGGGACTTCTTGTACTGTTTTAGTGTTTTTGTTTTCTCGTGTGTTTTTTTTGACGCTGAGCAAGTAGGAAGATGCGGCTACAGCAGTCGAGCTATTATTTCTCTTACTATCGTTTACAATTTTTTTGTATTTTCACAAAAGTTTATTTTTTTTCTCATAGTTCATACAAATTAAAAATAAAATCTTTTTAGATATTTTCTTTTTATCTTTATTAATATTTTTTGTTTCCCTATTATTTTCTTTTCCCTTCCCCTCTTCTTTATATGAATTATTGCTTTTTATTTTTCTCATCCTCCATTTTTTTTTTTCCTTTATCCCTTTACTCATTTTTTTCCTCACTTTCTTTTTTCATTCCTATTCTTTTTTTTTTCCTTTTCTTTCTCTCCTCATTCTTCCCTTTTCTCTTTCCCCTCCCTCCTCCCCCCCTATCCCTTACATCCTTTTCTTTTTTTTTTTTTTCTTCTCCTCTTCTCCTTTTCACCCTCCCTTCCTTTATTTTTCTTTTCTTCCCCTCCCTCTATTACTCATATTGGATATGACAATAATGTCGTATATTTCATATCATATTTGATACGACAATCAAACCATTAATATTTAATAATATACCTTCACCTTGTCCATAAATACCTTCTATTTCACCATTTTTCTTAATTTTTCAATCAATCAACGCCATCCATCTTACTTGGCCTCACCATCATTGATTACCGGTCGGGTCCTTTCCTAAAAAGGGTCGGCTATCCATTTATAATACATATTTTAACATCGATAATTTTAAGTATATCTGTACTTTATCGTACATTATACTCTTTTTATGATATACATACCTCTCCATTTTCTTTTTAACTACTTTTTCCCTCTTTTTCTTTTTACCTCGGGTTTGATAATTTGCATCTCTTACCTTCTTTTCCATTCCTCTTTCACTTCCACTTTTTTTTCCAGTGGAGGTTTATTTTGTAGAGGTTATAAAACCCTACGAGCAATATTTTATTTACGATGTGTCTAATGAATAATCAAAAGCAGTGGGTTTAATTTTCTTTTTTGAAGAGGTTCATGAAATTCCCCAAAATAATATATTACACTTTTCACCTTTCCCACGACTCCTCATTTTAA